TTTGACCTCGCATAAAATTTGACGATCCAGTTGTCCAATGACGTAATGAAATTTCGTCAGGTCGTTAGTAATTCCGGCGATCTGGAACTGTCCCTCAATTTGCGAAAACCATATTTCCGGTTCCTCCGGCCAAAAAGGTGGAATTCGTACTCCGACTTTAAAAATGTCGGATGGTGTTGTGGAAATGCGCTCACTGACGTCACGTTCGACATCGCCACTGCCGTTCGCCATCTTAGTACGTGTATTCTTGATTTAATAAAATATTACGTACTTTTATCACCAGCGTTGATAACTGTGTCCAAATAGGGTCACCACTATGGTTAGGCAGCAGATGAAATATATAGGTAGACGTCGAGTCTTAGTTCAATTCAAACACGTCACTTTGAATATTCACTTTAATTTACCTAATCCAATTTTTACAGTCACAGAAGGGCTAGTAACACACTGGAATAATGAATGGCAGGTCTTACAACTATTAATAATGTAGAACATACGCAATAACAATAGGTTTGACTAGTCCGAACGGAGCGCAAACAGTCATGCATTCGCCGTGGGATCGTGATACAGACTGGTGCGCGCGGCTACTGAACGGCCGGCGCAGGAGTCGGTTACGCGAACAAAAGAATTTAACTAGGAACTCGTTTAGAGTGCGCGTGTCCATTCCGAACTTACGACAAATTGGCACGTCATTATAAATAGATATTTAATATGGTAATTTAATGTTTTTGTGAATATTTGTTTATATATAAAATAATTATGTATATTATGTTTATTTATTAGTATATGTGGAAAATAATATAATGTTGCCACAATGCCATCCAGACCAGCTGCTTTAAAGGGGAGAAAGCTTTTGATGGCCCATGTTAATGTATTGATTTTGATGATTTTGCGTGCGGTTGTCCAGTCCGCTGATCCCGGAACTGCAGATATCTCATCTTCCCATTTTCGGTTTTCCTTAGTGTTACAACCTGGGAAGTGTGTTTGCATCAGCAGCTCACAGGTTTCAGCATCGGTTTTTGTGAAGGTGTTATCAGCCTTTTTGAGGAAACCTAAATTTCGTTCGGGATCACTACTCAGGATTTTCCTCACTCTTGCGGCATGATTGTTGTCTTGAATATCGCTACAGAAACGCTTCCAGCATTCAGCTTTTCTGAAGCGGATGCGCTTTTTGTAGCGAGACTGTGCCTCCTTGTAGCGACTCCAGTCATATTCTAGTCGGGTGTTTTTTGCTCTGTTGAACATCTTTCTTACCCTGCGCCGCAACTTATCCAGTTCAGGACCCCACCAATTGTGTTTGCCTTTGCTTGTTGTGCGTTGCTGTAATAGTGGGCAAGATTGTTCATAACAGACGGTTAACGTTGATGTTATGTTATTCACGTGCGTGTCTATTTCCGTTGGATGTTTATATTCCTCTGGAGGTTGAAGACACTTCAGATTGGCCGATGCTAGTGACAAAAATTTTTTGCGGTCAGTCTTACGCGGAATGCGTCGAGGGTCTGGTGGTTTATTGTTTATATGAAGGTAGAACCTAATCCATCTGTGATCCGAGCAAGATGCTTCGTCAGATACGTGCCAGTCAGTGATATATTCGGCAATTTTCTCACTGGTTATGGTTAGGTCGATTATTGTCTGGGCTCTTGATGTTACAAAGGTAGGTTCAGAGCCTCTGTTGATGATTTTTAAGTTTGTTGAGAAAAGGTAGCTAGAAAAGTCCTCACCTCTGGTATTGGTGTCGTGGCTGCCCCAAAGTGTGTGATGTGCGTTGGAGTCAGCGGCGATGATCAGCTCCAGTCCCTCTTGCTCGCAGTGTGTCACCAGCCTTTCGAACTCCGGCAAGGGTATTTCAGCGTCGCCCGGACAGTAGGCAGACGCTAAAATCACCTCGGGTAGGCTAGGTGTATCACTGAGGAGCCTGATTGCAGTCAGGTCCCTGGAACAGAACTCGGTGATTAAAACGGTTTTCACATGCTTGGGAACAAAGGTGCATGTTCGTGGTTTACTTACGGTAGTATCAATGAGTAATTTGCCTCCAATGTTGGATAGACCACAGATCCTCTCACCCCTGATCCACGGCTCCTGGATGAGGGCTATGGTCTTGGTGTTTGTCTCCAACACTCGCCGAAGATTTGCCGTGGCTGTCTGGCTGTGTTGGAGATTGGATTGTAGGATGTTAAAGAGAGGGGCTGGGTTTTTGGTCGTCATTTTGACTGACCAAGCTGCCCGCTCTCGCTTCCTCTTCATTCGCCTTTTCAGCCTCTAGCCACCAGTCCATACGGTCAGCATCCTCCTCTTCCATGCTGGATTGTCGGGCCGGTGACGAGTTGTAGGCCGATGTTGTTGGTGCCGAAGCCGGTGGTTTATTGGCCATACCCACGCCCAGTCCTACGTCGGTCTTCCTCGGTGGGTTAGGTGTGGTGGCCGGTGGTAGTTTTGCCGTGGAAGGTCGATCTGATGGTCGATCGACTGCCCCCGACGAGAAGCGGACATAGATCGACCCGAGCTTGTAAGCTACGCGTCGATCCCTCGCGAGAAGTTTGGGCACATCATCCTGGGGGATACCCACCAGGATAAATAGCTCTTCCCTCTCTTCCGTCTTCACTGCGTGGTACAGGGCCCATTGGTTGATATTGTACCACGGATTTTGGGCGGCCAGCCTCAACCTCAGTTGGTCGAGGTTTTCGCCCTTGTACCGTGGCACAATGATGGAGGCCTTCACCCTCTTCGGAATCTCGGCTTCGGCGCGGCTTAAAGGAAACTTTACTGCTGCTAAGCTCACCCCCACCATACGGTATACCAACTAAATCGGTTGTAGATGAAATAAAAAATCAAATACAAACTTTGCTTCCGTCAATAATTAATATAGAAGGCGTGGGAGTCCAAGTCAAGCATGAACTTTTTTTGACGATGATAGACGGAAAAGTGGCACAAGTTTTAACAGATACGCCTTCTAGTTCCACATGTACAATATGCGGAGCAACTCTTAGACAAATGAATGATTTAACGAAAGTAATAGCTAGGCCTGAAAATGCTTATCAATACGGATTATCCACCTTACATGCCTGGATTCGTTGCATGGAAATGATATTACACATATCATATAATCTATCTTTCCAAACGTGGTCTGCTACAAGCGAAGAAAAAAAAAAAGACTCAAACAAGAAAAAAAGGCTGAAGTACAAAAGCGATTTCGTGAAGAGTTGGGTCTAAATATCGATAAACCACGACAGGGGACGGGAAATAGTAATGATGGCAATACTGCTAGGAGATTTTTTTACAATGCTGCCTGTTCTGCTGATATCACAGGGATTGACATTGATTTAATTAAACGGTTATATATAATTTTGCAGGCTTTGTCATCTGGTATAGTGGTAGATAGTAAGAAATTTGGTAATTATGCTCTAGAAACTGCAAGAATATACGTGAGTAAATATAGTTGGTATTACATGCCATCATCTGTCCACAAAATTTTAATTCACGGAGAGAGTATCATAAACCATTTCGCGGTATTACCAATTGGGCAACTTTCAGAAGATGCTCAAGAATCTCGCAATAAGGACTATAAAAAATTTCGCTTACACCATGCTCGGAAATGCTCTCGAATAGCTACAAACGAAGATGTGTTTAATACACTACTTTACACTTCAGATCCATATATAACGAGCATAAGAAAACCATATGCAAAAAATGTAAAGGAGCTCGATGAAGATACTTTACACCTTCTCAAGGTTAATGAACTTATTTCAGATCCTGAAGCTCACCGGGTGTAAAATGTCAATCTTGCTGAGCAAAAAAAAATAAATATAAATTGCGATAATTTTGATTTGTTTCTGTATGTTAGCGTAGTGTTAAAAATATTTTACCATTTTTAATTTTATATTATCAATATAATATGATAGTTATCTTAATAGAGTAATTAGCATTAAGAAATAGACGTACAATATGTTTCTAAAAAATATTTCAATAAATAAATAATACTAATAATACTATTTTAAATCATTTTGTGACTTTTCTTTTTTAATTAAAAAAAATACGCATAATTCCAATTCATCAAACATTACTTATATGAATCCTTATGTATCACTTTATATAATAGCAAAATTTTATAAGTCTATCTTTCAAATTGACGGAGTTACAGATTTTTAATCCGAAACACACCGAAATATTCCACAGACCCACCCTACAGTCCAGACTTGGCACCCAGTGACTATTATTTATTTGCAAAAATGAAGAAAGAGCTACGTGGAAAAAAAATGACGACGTTGAAGAAGTGAAGTCCGCAATTTCGGCCTATTTTGACACCAAAGACAAATCATTTTTTTTTTCGATGGTATAAACAAGTTATTCGAGAGATGTGAAAAATGTATTAGGGTTAAGGGAGAATATATTGAAAAGGAAAAATAGTTTGATGTTTAATTTCAACCTCATTCCCTCTTATTCCGGGAACTTTTTGACCTCCACTCGTATATCGATATTGTGAGTGTACCGAGTATTTTAGAGCACTTCTTATTTATTTAATGTTCTCTTCTCAAAAAGTAAATAAAATTTTAACATTTATTCTTTCCAACTGAGTATAACTCTAAATACGTTATTGTGATAAATGAACGTCCTGATTTTTACAACAACGGTCGTCAACAAGAGTCAACTGTGCATACATCTTGAATATAGATGGCTATATGAGCTTTTACACTTCGGCTCACTTAATGTTGTAAGTTTTAACGGTCTGCAGGAAAAATATAATTAAGTTAGGTTGAGCAACTATAATATATTTTTGAAACACACAAAAAAGATGGTTAATAAATCCGTTTCAAAACTGCATAAAAAGTTTTTGCTCAATGTAACATTTATTTTTAGCTAGGGACCGTCAAAACCGTATAAGTGAAAACTTAAACAAATGTGTCCGGAGTATATTAAGCTAGCGCCTAGTGGTACTTCTTGCAGCAATTTTAGAGTTGATTTCCATTTTCCTTTTATTCTGTTTCAGTAAGTAATTTTTTTTACAGGTAGAAATGTCTCCCGGCGGCACGACCGGTATGCTTGTGCAGGGTGACGGAGCACAGCCTTCGTTGCCAGTCCTAACAGATGAGGATGGTGTAAGTCATCATCAGCTTATTAATGTCCCCACTGCAAGGGCACAGGCTTATATCTATAAATAAGAAAAAAAATATTTCCAACACACACCAATTAGCCTAGCCCCAAAGTAAGCACTGTAAGCTTGTGTTATGGGATACTAGGGTAACGGATAGAATACATATACATAATAAGTATATTTATATACAAATAATATAAAGTGCTCGTATCCATTACACAAACTTCTGCTCCAACCGGGAACCTCTCGAGTAGTCGACACCTTGAATCCCGGCGAACAAACAACACGGCCACGGAGGTCCCATGGATGGAAGACTAGGCCGTGACCCACCACGCGGACACAGCGGATTGGTAGGACTGCAGATGTGTAGGGACCAACGGCCTAATGTGCCTTCCCAAGCACGAAGGAGCTCGAGATAATTAGTTTTTGGTCATCCGAATGTTTCAAGTGTGATCAAAGTTTGTGTTATCTCTTTATTTACGATGAAATTCGAGTATGGCATACTTTAAATGGCGTATAATTATTTAAGGTTTTTGACAATGGCTGATAAGGATATACTATTTATATGAGTGAAAATTACAATAAATATCACTTAGAAGGTGGTTAGCATAAAGATGTCCAATGAGGATGTGGTCCAAATACTGTAATTTCACAAACTATTCTGCAATAATAATTATGTGTTTTGGAGACATTTAGTAGAATTAATAATTCAATTCTTCTGATTTTCACACAGTCTTAATTTGATAAAACTGAAAATTTAGTTTCTGAGAACCTTTTTTTATATTATTTGTTAATTAATGATTTCTTCATACAGTCAGAGGTGAAAGTGGAAGCGAGCGCAGTGAAACAACTGCTCGAAGAAGGCGTTGGCGTAGATGAAGGCGAAGAAGTTGGACTTTTGCATTCGGCACACCCTCCGATCATGATCCGAGGCGAGGACGGAGTTCTATACCAGGTGATTATTGAACTACTGTTTGCTTAAAAGGTTTACCTTTAAAACTGGATGGGATAATACAAATATAGTGGGAATATATTATAAAATATTATTGATATGTTTTTATTAATTATATATTGAAATCAAAAGTACTAATGTCAGAACATTTTTTTTTTTTTATTAATTCTGACTGAACTCATGAGGTAATTTTTTTCTCTAAATTGAAGTACACAGAATACAGCAATTATTTCTAAGAAGCATTATAAAATGTACTAGGTGGCTGGTGAAAACGAAGCCGGGCAAACTTTACTAGTGGCCGCGGAGGGCGTGGAAGGCGCCGTTGAGGGCGTGGAGGGCGCCGTCGAGGGCGAGGGTGACGGAGTGATGTACGTCACCAGGGAAGACGGACAGGTAACCAATATACTACACCAGATAATAGCCGGGCAAACTATACTATTGGCCGCGGAGGGCGAGGAAGTGGAGGGCGAGGGCGACGGAGTGATGTACGTCACCAGAGAAGACAGACAGCTAACCAATCTACTACACCAGAGAATACCCGGGCAAATTTTACTAGTGGCCCTGGAGGGCGTGGAAGGCGCCGTTGCGGGCGTAGAGGGCGAGGGCGACGGAGTGATGTACGTCACCAGGGAAGACGGCATGTAACCAATCTACTACACCAGAGAATTATCTCACTTTCATCTTTAGCCCAGAGGTTCTGTAAGGTGGCTTCCAAAATTATTCATTTTACTATTTAATTAACTAAATTAATAAGGAGGAAATTAACTTAAGCCATATTAGAAAGCAGTTTTTTTATTTTATTTAAACCTATAGGTACTTAAACTCTCTTAACTGTTTTACTTTCCTTATTTTTTATCTTTTATTATTCCCATATACACTTGCAATGTCTACAAGGCGCCTGTGACAGATAGCCGTTTCAAATTAACCCTCACTGTTAAAATGTGTTTATTTTAGCTGGTTTTGCTCGTTCTAGTTAAAATATGCTGTATGTATGTATGATTGTTCACCCTGTAATCGATGAAGTTTTTTAAATGAACAGGACGTGCTAGCGATCGACCCCGCGCAACTAGCGCACTTAATGCCGGGCGGTGGCGGCGACGCTGCGCCCGCTTTGCAGCAGGTGGCCGTGCAAGTGGAAGGGGAGCCCGGCGAGGACGCCACGCAGGTTATCGCGCAGTTGCTGCAGGCGGACCTACCCTCGCCCGGTAAGTGTGTGACATTGCCACAGGTAGCTTCTAAACGAAGCCCGAGAAAGCCACCTGGCAAAGTAAAAGAAAAGTAAAGATGTAAATGAAATATTTTATGGGTTTTGAGGTCAGTATTGATATATTGAGGAGGAGCATGGCTAGCGCGTTCCGCTGCGACCGTTGAAGTTAAGCAACTTTCGCATTGGTCGGTCGTTGGATGGGTGACCAAAAAATCTTCTAAGCAATTAATTTAAACAAGTGCATTTAATCGTTTTTTGGATCGTCCAATGTACCTTTTGGACAGGTTTCGGGCATGATTTTGTGCGTGTTGAATACTCCAAAATCGCTGCTCATATTCATATTAAAATGCAGATGTCAACAATTGGTACTTTGATATGTTGCTTATTTTCCTTTTTTTGTTTCAGGCGGCACACGGCGAGTTGTACTATTACTGCCCGACGGCAGCTTAACGATGACGGAGCTAGACAAAGAACAATACGAGTCAATAACTGAAGCTAGTAAAGCCCAGGAATGAGAAACATGCATTCAAGATAATGTGTACAAAATGTTGTTGACTGATTAATAGAAAGGTTAGACATATTTAACCACCTGGATTGGTTTATCTGCAGATCCTTGGTAAATGCATTTGACGACAACTTAAATGACTAAACATACTAGTATATTAGTAACAAACCAGTTAAAAGAAAACACTGCTATTCAACTCCTGTTGTAGTCTTAACATAAGGTTTCCTTCAGCTTTCTGAAAATAAACAATATTCTGTGAATGTTGTTTTAGTATAAAATAAAACGATAGAACAGTCCAGATTTTTCCTCAAACTGATTTCACCTAGAATATAGATTCAAGAATAAATCAAAGTTAATATATAACTAATTCAGTTAATTGTAAATATTGATATCAATAAAAGCATACTAATAAGAGGCGGCTGAAATAAACGCCGTTGAACGGACCCTTATTTGTGTTTGTTTTTCCGAACAGCAATCATATTTTTATCTGGTCACCACAACATGTAATAATTCTGTAATTGAACTATGGATCCAACTAACCAACAGCTTTTAGTTGTAAATCGATAACATTTTTGTCAGTCTACTCTGAAGATTTGCTGTGTAACAGAATCGTGTTTCCTATATTGATATAATTGCACAAGTAACATAGATAGTTTCCATTATTTGTACTGTTTAATTTATAAATGCCTGTAAATAAAATATTAAATATATTTTTAATCGAAAATGAACTTAGTAATGACGCAGAACATTAACTAAATACAGTATAGAAAAGTATACAGTTACTTTTGACTAGTCACTGTGTACAACATGTGGTGACTTCGTCGATTCGAATATTACTTTTATTTGCTTGTGTTTTCTTAATTAATAGTCATGACATCAATATTTGTCTTCTTGAGCCAGAAAATTACCCATCGCACCCATTAGCTCTCTTCCCAAATGTAGTAGTACCTACCAGTGATTTTAAACTAACAAAATTTAATAGTAAATCGACATGAAATTAATAATTTATAAAACTGTAGAAACTATAATGTATACTTGATTCTCATGTTACAGTGACAATAAATTAGAAGATATTATCGATAACACTTTAAAGAAACCTGTTGATTCAAACCAAGTAGTAACTTGTATAGGTATTACTTTTTGTATTTGTAGCAGTGCTCTACATTAAAAAGTTGTTATTTTGTTGAAACGTGACTACATCTGAAGACGCTTAAATGTTGTATCCTCTTTTATACCATTTCACTAACAGATATTTTAACGGGCATATAAAGTAAATTGAGACAATATTATTGTTATATACTGTCACTGTCCTTCTTTCAATAAAAAGCGTGCTGTATTTTATATTTTTTGTAAGTTTGTTGTTTTGAGAGATGTCAGTATGTTACTAGGGTATAGAATGGAAAGGAAATAGTTGTAAAATTATTGTTCATAGGTATTAATTGCTGTAAATTAAGGAATGATCTAAAAAGGCATATAATATTGCATAAAACAATAGAATGTTAACATAACCACAGTAAATTGTCTTCAAACTTATCCAATTTGTTAAGATATTTGCATTCTAATAGTGTAAAACTGTATTACTTAAACGACTGCAACTCTAAAGCGGTCAAAAAAGATATGTAAATGTAAACTACTCACAACCAGTAATTGGTGTGTATATAAAACTTTTTATTGTTGCATCTGGCGCATTCAAGCATCACTATCCAACTCATAAAATTTTGAACTTTAATAAAGTAGAATTTACTTCAAAAAATTGTAACGCCGCATGTCCATAAGAGCCAATCTATCTATGAACCGCACCTCTTTGAGTGTGTCGAGCTAAGCGAAATCCTATTTAGTCCACACGAGCACTAATAACGGCATTCCGCAGCCTGAGCTGGCTTTCACTGGTTTCACAAACAAATTAGAAATAATAATGAATACGAACTGCGCTAAAAAGTGGTTCCATGCAAACTGCGAACAAGTGGGCGGGACGGAATTGGTTAGGATTTCCGTTTAAAGTTATCTTACCCAATGAATGGATAGCCGAATGAAATTATTTGCATATTTTTGAGTTGTCAATTTATTTTGATTTGTCTGTGTGCGTGTCGCGTTAGTATTAAAATTAACTTGTATTAGTTAGAACCATATTTTAGGGGCCTTTTTCAGAAAGTAATGCTAGCATATTATTTCTAATTCGTTGGGTTTCACATTGTATTTCACTGCGTGCTAATCTAATACCCAGTGGATCTATATATTATTTCAAACAAGTTTAATTACGCGCTTTCCAATAGCGTTTTAGGGTTCATAAATTTGATTAAAATCGTGGATTGCTCTTACCGAGTCGTATTGTTATGCAACGAATTGGATAGCTCACTTTCATCTAGATAGATTGTGCCGGGCCCGACACTTGCGTCGGCTTTAAACAATTAACTCGGTATAGCGTGAGACTGGTGTCGATCCTAGCACGATTCTCTAAACCTAAACTTTAATTTGACACGTGTATCCTTGTCATTCTTTATTCAGAATGGAAAGGAGAGACTGAATTTTAATTTAGTCTTAAATTTAGAGTATCACCACCTGACTCGACACCTGTGTCCATATAAATTGCATGTAATATTAGTTGACCTTGAAACCGTGTATTCTTACTTGAATCACGACGCGGCAAACATACACACTGCAACGTCACTTAAACCATCAGCTATGTATGAGACCATGCCTCGACCCAAAGCTGCCTCCAGTGGATATGCGATTATAAATAATGAAATTCGTAAAGTGACTTGCCTATACATTAATTTATGTGCCACATACAGTTTTTAAGTTCATTAATAGATTACATGGGTGAGCGGAGCTTTATTAAAAACGTTAATATAAATTCCTGTCTTCTACTTTCATTATTATTATTGATATTTATAAGACTTACATTTTAAGTTCTTATTATAATTTTATATTATGAGTGTAGAAATAAAATATATTAAATAAAGTTATAATAGTACTATGATATCCTTTCGGTCGTACTCGGGGGCCTCAATTAAATCTAATGGTTGTCAAAGTGATATGTTGCAGCATTACCTTGAATAAATCATAAAAAAAAAATTGACGGCCTGCAAGTGAGGCTGAACAAATTCTTTCATTATTCTTTCCACTTTTTTGGTTTTTTATAGGTCTTTTTTTTTTAAGCAGACAGGAGCATCGATTTTCAGACGTTGGCGCCCTTAAAATAAATAAAAATAAAATAAATATTTCTAACACACACCAATTAGCCTAGCCCCAAAGTAATCACTGTAGGCTTGTGCTATGGGATACTAGGGTAACGAATAGAATACATTATATTGTACATATATTAGGGGCACACCAACGAACGGACCTCACACCTAGCCTCTCGCAAGTCTCACGGGTGCGAAACGGAGAAGCCGTTAAGCAGTCCGCGCGGCTTACGAGAGCTTACGGCATACTATCTGCTAAAAAACCCTGCGAATACCCTGTACGTAGTAAGTCTGAAACGGCTAGATCCCAGTGGAGGTTTCGAGCGATTCTATATTTTCTATCATTTATTAAGTGGACAGAGAGTCATAATTATTCAATAACCATGAACTGTTATATTTCTCAATGCATAGTTGTGAATGCTATATCAAATAATTAAAGCATTTCTGTTTAGGTGCCCTTTAGGGCTTACGAGTGGAACCACGAGGAAGCCATTTTCCTGGTCATTCTACTAATAAGGAAACGGTCATCATTTCCTAAGCTAAAGGCGCGCTTTACAACAATTGCAATTAGGCACTATTTTCACATAATTTACTCAGGATAAGTAGCAACCTCGAGTTTGATCCGGTACGTTGTCATCACGGATACCTTAGTCTTTTTTTTGTTAACGCAGGCAAAACCTCTGTTAATATAGATATACAGACGACGAGGCGGGGCGGGCCGGTCAATTTCGCCGCGAATAGTAGCACAAAGTGAATCCTGTACTTCAAACGCACACAGAGGGCAAAAAGACCGCGCCGCAGGTGCCCGGTGGGCAGTGGCGGCGCGGCAAGTCCGCGGCTGCCCGCCGTGGATCATACAAAACCAGTTTATATGCAGTAACGCAGACGGCGGCGCGGGGCGGTCAGCTCAGTCCGCGCCACGCGCTTATTAGTGATGGACTATTCACTAGAACGAACGTCCTAAACTGACCGCCTCTGCCCGTCGTGTGCTTTGTATACGCGGCGCGGGCAGACGCGGTCTTTATTGCTTCGCGGACAAAATGCCCGCCCCGCCCCGTCGTCTGCTCAACGCCTAAGAGGCCCACCGCCGAACGGACCTCACACCTGGCTTCCGCAAGCTTTACGGCATAATATCCGCTAAAAAAACCTGCGAATACCCTCTTAGCTGCTTAGTGCGAATCCCAGTTAAGGGATTCTTCCGCGTTTCCGCACCTAGCAGCCTCCCGGACTAGCCGGGGCTCCACGGAAGGGGTATCGCGGGGACCCCGCAGACGTGCGCGAGAAGTCCCGCGCTGGCAGTTAGGTATGCGGCCTAGTGCCCACCACACCGCTCCCCGTCCGCTGCGGGGACGCCGCTCCCTCTCGTAGAACAGAACTACAAGAGGGGGATACCTTAGAGCTTGCGATGCGTTAAGCGGAAGCACGGAGCGGACGTCAGCTCCATTTGCTGTTTCATAATATGTCATTTCATAGAGCAGCGGGCGGCGTAGCACGCTCGATTGAAAATAATCCATCACCGTCTGTTCACCTGCGCGAGCTTAATTGTATTGACGGCAACGGCGCTGCGGGAGGCGGGGTTCCGTCGCGGGTCCCGCGTTGGAATGTCCGCTCCGTTCACCTGCTTGACGCGCGTCCGTTTCGTAGGTTTTATTCTATATTACAGTACACGCGCGATCTGAGTGACATGCATTCACAGTTTCCTGGTCAGGAAACCAAATCAGGAGTTCAGATATTGAATTTCGTGAGCCTAGCGCAGACATATCGTCTTTTTTTTAGTTAAGAGTTCAAACCGAACAGTGCATTCAGGAATTCCGATTAGGAAACCATACATATGCGCCCAGCCTGTGTCTCCTGGGTCATGTTTCCGTATTTGCTAAGACGATAACATAGTTTGCGTACCGATTAGAGACGTGGCCTAAAGTCGGCTTCACTATGGCATATAGGTAATGTAATATAAATTACATCTCGAGATATAAATTGATATCGCTAATCTCAGTTTGTAATTGAACCTTTCGCATTGTAATATATTATTACATCCAGGCAGGCACATTCTTTTCAACATTATTAGTCGCCCACACCCACACCTCTCACGGTCCCCTTCTCGTCATACCCACACACCCTTTACCCCACAGACGAGGTCTCAGTTAAGCGGTCTACCTATAACGGCGATTGGATGAAACTTGTTTTGATGACATGTTTTGTTAGAAAAATGGCGCATCAGACCCGGTTTTTGTGATTACGATAATAAATAAATTCCTGTCAGGAGTTCAACGTTATGTATGTACTAGTACAATAACAGTAGTAAATGAATTGGGAAGTCTAGCTCACAAAATTGCATCCTTAACGCTCGCCAAACTCGCTGGACGCAATTTGTGAGCTAGAATTCCCACTTCATTTTTTTCGATTTGTTGATGGTGTTCAGCCCTAGGAAGTACGTACAGCGTAGAACCGATGAGTAACAATAAAATCAAATGCTTCCCTTTGTCGGGGAAAAGAAAGGAGCCCTTCAAACAGATTTTAAGACTTCAAGTAGTTAAAGCTGAAATGTATCTCGGACATTGCTGAGAACCTGTACTTATACGAACGCTTCAAGCTGTACTTATACGAACGCACAGTGTGTTATGAGACCGTAAAATCGGACATTCTCATTTATTTGATGAATCGTTTAGAGCTCATTTATGCAAATATGATAGAAAAACTCTCGTTTGAAAATTCCACTTATTTTTCGAGATACAAAAATTCAAAAGTTACTTATTTTTTTCTTTTTAAAAAATGAAAAACATTCTTACTCGTAAACTAATAACATTTAATTTAGAGCCGTTATAATACTCCATCGAACTCTTAAAACTACACGTAATAAGCGTTTAAAGTTTTTTGTAAATGCTTGCAGTTAAATAAAAAAAAATCTTTTTGTTATATTTGTTTTTATTTTTTTTCTCCATTATACCATAATATATGCAAACTTTTTTAATCGCAAGCTATAGTCTGATATTTATTCTAGTTGTATAAAAAAAATCAGCATTAAATTTCGTGGTATATTTGAGAAAAAACAAACTGAAAATATGCACCAGGGCTGTCACATAGAATTGTAAATTTCTTATAACTAATTAAAAGCAATATTTCTTTTGGAGGTTTAAATATCTTATTAAAATCACACATATTAAGATTGAATGTTGTGTTCGATTATAGACAATGCCAGAGATGACAAAGGTCGAATGTCGGTGGAAAGTACTTTAGCCCAGTAAAATTAGCTTTTAACCTTGGAATAGGAAGCGAGATATTTATGAAAAACCCGTTCTTATAAATATCTCGCTCCCTATTCCTATCTTTTCCCGTTCGAACTTAAATTACTTAAGACGCAGAAACTAGATCTTATATGATTATGAGATTTATGAGGTAACCTTTAAAACGTCAAAACATAGATTTATAAAAAATATAAGCTTATTATCTTCCTTATCGAGATTTGACCCTCTTTTTGAGCTAATTTTATTGGATCTCAAAAAGCTTAATCTATTGATCGATATTAGTTCGATATTAAAGAACAATGTATCGAAGATCAGGTCGAAGACCCAAGTGACGATACAACGATACACAGATCATGTGAAAATAACATTTTAATCGACTGAAAATAAATTTACATTAATATAAAATAAAATTTTAAAAACAACTGCAGGCGCCGAATATCAATTTTTAGACCTTTAAATACTATGAATATAACAGGTGGGATTCAATTAGTATTTTTATTTGTAACTTTTTAGACATGAATTTATCCCTTCTAAATGTGTCAACCCTAGACGCGTAAAAATTTTGTGAATAGGTTTATTTTTTTTTCTCAAATATACCACGGAATTTTAAGCTGATTTTTTTTATACAATTAGAATACATATCAGACTATATCTTGCGATTGAAAAAGTTTGCATATATTATGGTATAATGAAGAAAAATATAAAAACAAAAATAAC